CTTATATATATATATATATAGTTAAATATAATATTGTTATTTATGTCCAAACATCACATTGGTGGCTGGAAGTTGGAATGCTAACTTCAAGGATAATTCCAATATATAAATGTTGGAGGTATCTCACACTTTACAAAATTTTAAAATTCAAAAAACAGCTAGAATGGGATAATAAATATATAATTTAAAAATAACGTTTCGCCACTGTTAACGTTGCACTATCAAGTACTCAGCACAAGTGTATACGACAATTAAATACAGCAAATCAATGACGTCACAAACATAACCTTGAGCTTAGCATAAGCATAAACCTACTCCTTGTGTTTTATTTATTAACGGTTTGTATTCCTTTACTAAAATGGCTTCTTTTATTTTACGTTTATTAATATTAGGTTCTTAACAAATAATTTAAAAAATAAATTTTCACTACAATGTTTTGTATGTTTGAGATGTTGGTCGACAAGTGATGGAGCTTGTCCATGTTCTGCTATACTAGTACTTAAATTTCTACCAGTCTCCCCTATATAAATAGTATTACAGTCCGTACATTTCACATTGTAAACTACTTTTTTCTCAACAGTAGTTGGTTTAATTCCATTTTTTAAATTTATATTCAACTTTTTTTCCTGGTAAAAAATGAATTTACCTACAACTGGAAGTTTATACATATTTTCTATTTCTTTTCATAGTGTTACCATTGTCTTCCCCCTTGATGTCTTGTATTATAATTATTTCTTTCTTATTATTGTAATTATTTTATTTATTTATTTGTGTGGGGGGCAGCCACCTTCCCCCTCTGGCTGCAGACAGCAAAAGGAGGTAAAGATGTGGGGTTTTGTTGGCTAGAGCACCCACATCAGCTCCTTTTTTTTCTAAACATCTGAGGCCAATGAAGTTGAGGAGGTTAAACTGGATAGACGGTATACCCCCAACGCAATTGAGTCTTACTTCCGCCAGTACCTCAAAAAACCAGGACACATTACATAATAACCCACCTAATGATTTGTGCCCCGGTGTTGGTTGTTTATTTTGTGGCTGCGTTATGTTTTTCTACTTTGTTTTTCTCCCTCCATAAAATTATATTTAATTATATTTCATCAAAGTTTTTACACATTTTGCGTAAAAAATCACGTTATCCTTCCTTTTGGTGCAATCTGTTTTTCTGTTTTTTTTTGTGTGTTTTTTTTGTAGCATATTTGTTTGTTTCAAGTTAAGCACAAAGCTACGCAATGGGCTATCTGTGCTCTGCCCACCACGGGTATTGAGACCCAGTTTCTTGTGTTGTAAGTCCGCAGAAATATTCCGCTGTGCCACTGGGGGGCTTTTTTTAACTTTCTTAAATAATTATATATATATATATATATATTATTGCGTTTTTTATTATTGAAAAGTTATGTATATGCTTCGTAAAATGTTACTTTTGAAACCAACTTAACGTTTCATTAAACATTTTAGCATTTTGAAGAACATTAATTACTTATGAATCTGTAGTGCGCCAATTAGTTTCTCACATTATATTGTTTATCAATGGCGTGAGAACAGGGGTTTTTATGACAGGGTTTAAAAATGATAATCACATTTCACGGTGTTTCATACCGCACTATTAATTGAAATTTGTTAAAAAAATTTCGATCATTATATAAATTCAGAACTGGAATTTCTTGTTTGTTTACAAATTTAACAAGTCGTCAGCAATTTGGCTTAACAGTTTATATAAGAAAAGAATATGCAACTCAGAAGTCCTATTTTTAGTAAGTATTAAAACGATTTAACCTCAATATATATACAAAAATATTCACATCTATAAATAACTTTTTGACAAATTTTTACAAAATACGAATGCAAATTGAACTAAATTTTAAAAGTACTGTTGACTTTCTTTTCATCATGTTATAGCGCCTCTACTGGTAACATTGTCGTAATTTATTTTTGTTTGCTGTTAAGCACAAAGCTACATAATGGGCTATGCCCACCACAGATATGGAAACCCGATTTTTAGCTCTATAAGTCTTCAGATTTGGCGCTGAGTCACCGGAGGGTTATTGTTGTGGAAAGTGTTCTTACGTTAACTATACTTGTGTACAGGTATGAATACCCAATTTTTTAGTACGATTAGCAATGAAACCACGCAGGTTGATAATCAGTTGAAGAAGATGGCATTCACGACAATATATTCTTACTTCAAGAAAACATGCGCCAAAAAGTAGTATCTTAAAACTATGTGAAGTCCTTTTAAGAAAAAAATAGCAGACTATTGTCCTATTGATTAAACTCAGTTTGACTCTATAGTTACACTCTCAGGATGCTATCTGTTATTAAGCCCGTTTATCTCGCATACCTTATATACTTTATATGTTTAGTAGAAGGAAGTTATAAAATCTGTTGTTCTCGATGACAACTGAACAAAGAACACGCGTTTACTGGAGCCTCTGAGAGTTTCTTATCTTTAAGTCACAGATGGTGAAGACAACCGAAAAAAAAAGTCTTTCAAGAAATTAATTGAGATGTAGATGGACGGAGAATTTAGCACATGGAGAGGACAAGCGGTGACGAGTTCCCCATCCACCCTCTTCAACGAACACAGCCGACAAATACCAGCCACTAAAAGTTTTGTCTGTTTGTTAACAGACCACGTTCTTCTTTCTTTGTCGTGGTTCTCCGTGTTGTTTGTCTGCACAGCCCGGAAACCTTCAATCAACTCAATTAAAGCCTCTAGCCACGAAAACATTCAGTGGGTCTATAGCATAGTTTAAATATACTCCGACGAAAACTGATTACTAAATTACGTCTGACGCAATACAGAACCAGAGTTATAAGTCCGCCTGGAAAGTATGCAGACTAAGCCCATTACACAACCACTCCTATATAATAGCATATAATGCTTCTAAGGGAGTATACTCAATAGATAATTCTGCTGGATTTCTCTAGCTTCTAACCGTCCAGTTAGTCTTACTCTTACGGTCACGTTAACATTATCCAGCTTCAAGTGTGGAAATGATTAAGGCTTCATTATAAAGAATATGTATTTATAGACTTCAAAGGTATGCCCCATAAAGCCTATGTTTTTGTTTGTTTGTTGTTCTTGTTTTATGTAAGTGCATGAGCAAAAATGTGGGCGTATTTTTTTTGCCTACTTTGTACTTTCACAATATTCGTCAGTCTTCGTATTATTTTTATTACTTTGTACTTTCACAATATTCGTCAGTCTTCGTATTATTTTTCTTACTTTGTACTTTCACAATATTCGTCAGTCTTCGTATTATTTTTCTTACTTTGTACTTTCACAATATTCGTCAGTCTTCGTATTATTTTTCTTACTTTGTACTTTCACAATATTCGTCAGTCTTCGTATTATTTTC